ATAAATCAAGGTTTGCTGTGCTTGGTTGTAGGGCTACACAATTTAGCCTAAAATGTAGTGCTTATATATATTAAAATTGCTATAAACAACAACAACAACAATAATAATAATTATTATTATTATTAATATTCATTATATTAGTATTAGTATTATTATTATTACTATAAAATGCTATAATTATAAAAATCTCATTACTGAATAAAAACAAAATAACTAAATATTATAATATACTACTAAATATTTATATTATAACTGTGAATTTATAATACTAATAGTCAAGGCTCTCTTAATTTTCACATGTTAAACCATAAAATGACTTATTTTGAAAGAAAATTGCAGGGAGCCCTTAAAGCTTATCGTTTGTTGATAAGTGTTTCTCATTACAAGTATGCTAAGACAGTTGACGGTAGGCTAACTAAACATGCTGACTAAACAGTTTAACTTTATAGCTGAAGTTTGTATGATTTGTTTTTATGTCAAAACACATTTTCTTAACACAAGTTATTGTTTATTTATTACTATAGGTATGCCATTCATAGGATTGTCTCCCCCAAAAGTGCAAACATCGAGCCTTCCAGGCACCAATGAAACATTTAAAGTGGTCTGCCCATATCTGTCAATCATTCCAGCTCAACCAATAGCGAGAGTTTGGGGGCGTGGCTACTGTAGCAAGCTGAGCCAAAGTGTGTTGAGGAGGTGTGAGATCACGGGATCATGACGTGTACATGGGGAAAAAATCATTTACAGAATTGCAAGCCAAAATACATGTGGGGTAAATGGTGTAAAACAAGGGTAGCCCTTGGCAGTATTTTTACAAGATAGTAACTTGATTGGATCTTTGGGTTACTATGAAGACGGGTTACTATCAAGATGCTGAACTTGAGGAGTTTCTTCTTGACAGGTAAGCTAAAGTTACCATAGTTGACAGCTATTTACTGTCAAGACCCAGATAAAGTAGTACAACTTTGTAAGGATAAGAATAATCGTAAGAATGTGATGCATGTAAGGGGCCTTTGCAAATGTTGTTTAAAAATATGCTTTATTTTTGTAATTGTAAGTGACACTAGTTGCTCAGAAGCTGCACACTTTATCTTTAAGTAAGTAGTTGACAGTATAGGACAGAGATGCTCAAAGCAGGGCTTGCAGGCCAAAGTTGTCCCGTTATGACCTTTGATTTTGCCCACCATGTCACATTTTTTGTTTTTAACATTTTTTGTTGTATTTTTGCATTGAAAGACAATATAACTGAATTCGATTTTTTAAAATGTAATTTTAAAAATAATATAGATGGATATAAAGTAACATCTGTTTTGACCCACTGCCCTCAATCAAGTTTGATTTTTGGCCCTTCGTAGTAAAAAGTTTGGCTACCTCTGTAGTAGTGCTGGGCGGTATGACCAAAAATTTATATCACAGTATTTTTCAAAATTATACCGGTTTCACGGTACATGACGGTATTTTTTTTTCATGCATGACCAGGTGTTAACCATATTTTCTACTGATTGAGAGAGGAAATACTGCAGTATATTGACTTAGAATGCCCTATTTTACTGTCACGATGAGTGAATATTGTCAAAAAATACCACACTAAATAGTGACTAAACACGACCCCTTTTAATACGTTAACCAGGAGTCACTCTCATTTATAATCGCGGCATCGTCTGATAAAATCAACATGCATCTACACTAAAGAGCGGCGGCTATGCGGTTGTTTTGGCTATATTACTTTTTTGTCTCATGCAGCGCACTGCCTGCATCTGAGTAACATGTTCTATTAGTTCTACAGCTTCAGTTTCGGAACTTTCATGCTTAGTAACACATACAGCTGTTCCCTCACCACAGTGCAACAGTGAAAAGGGACCCCTTTCAAACAGTGTCGTGTTCCGAACGTTGTTTAAGCGACATACACCGGTATTGCGGTATTTTAAAAATTCATATCATAACAAAAATAAACACCGATATTCGGTATGAACCGGTATACCGCCCAGCACTACTCTGTAGTAGAAAAAGATGCTAATGCCAGATAAAGCATCACTTAGAATGAACACATACTTGAGCTGAATTATGAATTGTGCTCTGATGCATTTTGAGCGCATGCATTAATGCAAACTTGAACAGCAAAGTGAGTTTGGGCCTAACAAACAGGGTTCCCACAACTTTTGTCTAATGAATTTCCATTACTTTTCCAGTGGATTTTTAAAAGCCACACTAGAAACAAACAAAAAAATGAATATTCACTATAGAAATTTCCATGAATTTGCAATATTTCACTTAAAATTACAAAAATCCCTGATAATGTTTTTCCATGACTGTGGGAAGTGGGAACCCTATAAAAACACAGATCCAAACTCCATCACCAAAGCTGAATGACAGATGCAATCAATTAATTTCAGTGCAATATTTTGCATCCGGTTGTGATCTAACACACCCGTTATTACGCTCAATATTTTAGCAACAAACCAAAATAGCCCTCAAAATTCACCCACAGCATCTGAGGTATTAGCCTGCGCTTCTATATTTATGTTGTTAATTTTCACCTCATGGTGGCCAGAGCCTTCTGCCTCATCTAAATTAAGATCTCACCGTCTGCCAATGAAGCTGCATGGAAGACTGTCGTGGTGAAACAGTCTGGGAAAATGCATTTAGTGCTGATGGGCAAAAAAACGACTTATCATTTGCATGCCTCAATGAGTCTTTGCATTCGTTTGATATAAATATAATGTTGTTGGAGAAGAACTCGTGCATCAACGTTCGGACAGCAGCTTATAACAGCTTCCATTACATTAAATAATAGACAGAGATCATTAGGTAATTAATTATTTTTGTTAGAAAATATTTTCATATGGTGAGACCTGGGCTAGTTGTCACAAGTAAGATTTTGATTCAAAAGTCTGAATGCACAAATGTGTTTCTCTCACAGTGGTTTTATATGTCGGTTTCAAACATGCAGTTCAAAACGCTCTTAAATTAGACTTTTTTCTCATTTTTATCCTCAAAAACAAAAAACAAAGATCTAGTATCATCATATTTTTTGCAATAGCTGTTGGTATCAAGAGATAACTATGATAATGCATAATAACAGTAGATTTAACCAAGAGATTCAACTTTGCTCTCAGTACAGTGTCAGGTCGGGGCAAGTTGTCACATGTTTTAATGTTAACATTTATAATAATGAATAAATAAACTTATACAATTACATTATTTGTTAGACAAAACATTTGTTAACATATTGTCTTTTTGCATTTTTGTTTTTGGGTTTCAAATGAACTATTTCAGTGCAAAACTTACACTGCTTTTGTCACAAAAGTTCGGTTTGTGTTTAATAGGCTTTATATTTTATCCAGGATAGAATATGTAAAATATATATCAATATGTTTAGTCAGTTTGTGTTTATACAAAAATTGCCTTCCAAAAATAATCTCACTCTAAAATATTCACCGGAATAAATAGGGCGACCACTATCTTAAAAAGGACTTGACCTACAGATCTGCTTTACACAATGTTTATGAAAGTGATTAGAAAGTGTCGCCAAAGAGTTTCGTGAGTGAAGTCTTCAAACAGACACAGCTGCACGAGTAAATATTTGCTGATGATGTTGTATCCTAAGGCGTTGTCTACTGTATTTTGCCGCACGAAACGCGACGCGACGCGACTCAAGCGCTTCCATTATGATGAGCGCGTCTGCCAAAAGCGCGAGCGGCTTCGCGTGGACAGAGAGAGCGCAGCTGACTCTTATTAGAAAGAGTAAACTATCAGAATAACTAAGAAAACGTGCAAACAGATACCAGACGCGGTCTTTTCTGGGCATGCCACACTTTTAAAAGCATGCATTTGAGAGCTGTCAAACGCTCCATTCACTGACCTGCTTTTCAGCGGCTGGCTCTTCAGCTCGTAATACGTTTTAGGCTCCTCGTGAAATTCCTCTCCGACTTCAAAGTCGGGCACGAGCCCCGATTCCGACTGCATTTTCAAAGCTGTCAACTTTCGTCAGCTCCCAGGTGGAAAATTATAAGTCAGTTCAGAGCCGTACTTTCAGACGCACGGAGTGTCGGCCACTGATGTCAAGCTGTCGGTCCCCCGTGCGCTCCAGCAGTGCGCTGGTTTCGCTTTGTAGTCCGTTAAGAGGGCTGTTCGACTGTGGCGAATGCAGCCAAATGAAGCTTGGAACTACAAATCCCAGGAATGACGACAGCCGGGTTTCAGCATCTTTTGATTGGCTGGCACCAAAAAGGGGGCGTTACCCTTAACAGCAACATTTTTTTACTTTGGCTACAAATAAAAAGACGTTATCTACATGCTACGAACAGGAACATATTACTTGCTCAGTTATCATTGAACTTTTTTTTTTATTAATTATTTTTTAAATAATTGCGCTATTTAATCTCCATGCAATTTTATAAACAGTACAATCAATGTCCACGCGATGGCAGTATAATCAAATATATGAAACAACATCATCACACTTCAACGCTATGACCCAGTGTCTGATTTTTTATTATTTTTTTTCAATAAAAACTAGCTTAGATGTATTGCTTAATTTGCACCTACTATTTGAACTAGTCTCTAACATTACTAATATTAGACGTCTCAGTTATTCATCTGTCAAAATAAGAAGATTCAAAATTGCATTGTAGTTTAGTTTACAAACACTGTTTCATTTGGTAGGCTACAGAAGTTAATTTCAGACAAACCGCTGAAGAGAAAGTGTACCATTAACCAACATCAGATAACTGTGAACATATAATGTGTTGTTAAATTATTGAAATGTTTAAATCTCTGTTAAATAACAGCTTTGCTTTCAGCTTTTTGGCCAGAACGCTCCATTCACTGACCTGCTTTTCAGCGGCTGGCTCTTCAGCTCGTAATACGTTTTAGGCTCCTCGTGAAATTCCTCTCCGACTTCAAAGTCGGCCACGATCCCCGATTCCGACTGCATTTTCAAAGTTGTCAAGTTGCTCCCAGGTGGAAAGTAAGAGTCGTACTTCCAGACGCACGAAGTGCCAGCCACCGTGATGTCAGCTGTCAGTGCGCTCCAGTAGTCCGCTAGATTCGTTTTGTAGTCCGTCAGGAGGGCTGTGTGACTGCGGCGAATGCGGCCCAATGAAGTGTGGAACTACAAATCCCAGGAATGACGACAGCCGGGTTTCAGCATCTTTTGATTGGCTGGCACCAAAAAGGGGGCGTTACCCTTAACAGCAACATTTTTTTACTTTGGCTACAAATAAAAAGACGTTATCTACATGCTACGAACAGGAACATATTACTTGCTCAGTTATCATTGAACTTTTTTTTTTATTAATTATTTTTTAAATAATTGCGCTATTTAATCTCCATGCAATTTTATAAACAGTACAATCAATGTCCACGCGATGGCAGTATAATCAAATATATGAAACAACATCATCACACTTCAACGCTATGACCCAGTGTCTGATTTTTTATTATTTTTTTTCAATAAAAACTAGCTTAGATGTATTGCTTAATTTGCACCTACTATTTGAACTAGTCTCTAACATTACTAATATTAGACGTCTCAGTTATTCATCTGTCAAAATAAGAAGATTCAAAATTGCATTGTAGTTTAGTTTACAAACACTGTTTCATTTGGTAGGCTACAGAAGTTAATTTCAGACAAACCGCTGAAGAGAAAGTGTACCATTAACCAACATCAGATAACTGTGAACATATAATGTGTTGTTAAATTATTGAAATGTTTAAATCTCTGTTAAATAACAGCTTTGCTTTCAGCTTTTTGGCCAGACAACTGTTTTAAATTTGGGCACATTTTCGCTCATTTGTATGATCTCATTCATGGGAACAGCTTACACTCCGCTGACAATTATATTTAGGGGTAGACCTTCATGCTTACTTTTTCCCCCCTAAAATCATATGTTTTTGTACGACTCACATCATTATGACGCTTAATTTCAATTATACAGTATGCTTGTCTGATTTAAGCTTCCGGTTGGGATGAACAGTGAGCTGCTCTCTCATTGCAGATGGTGTTTGTGTGTGTTGTGGGTGGAGGGTGATGGGGAAGGGGGATCCCATGGGCATGCACACAGTGGGCACTGAGAAGATACAAATAAACCAGGCCCTTTGTTCAGATGTTTGGGATATTGCTGCCAACCCTGTTGAAAAAAACAGCATATGCTGGTTAGGTATGTTTTGACACTGGGATGCTGGTTTAAGCTGGTCCTTTGCTGGTTTAAGCTGGTCCTTTGCTGGTTTATGCTGGACCAGCTTAAAGCAGCATCCCAGCGTCAAAACATACCTAACCAGCATATGCTGGTTTTTTTCAACAGGGAAACCCAAAAAGCTGAGCCTATATACGATCCAATATGGCTTCTCATGGACTAACCTTTATAAAACCTTTCAGCGGTTGTGTACGCTGCATAATCTACACACGAAAAGTAATGACTTTGAATTACAGTCGCTCAAAGAAGAGCCGAGACATCACATTTGTAGAGGAGGCGCCTTGACTACAGGTTCAATAATGCTAATGTATCTTCACGTGTGCAGCCTGAGTTTTATTTAATAATCGTGAAAAAGATTTTCTAATTTACCACTTATGGTCACAACTTTTGTCAAGTTACTAATATGTTCAGCCTAAATGTGATTTGAGACATTTTATAATTGCTACAATGGATTAGGAATTTTATGTATAATTGATTACTAGCCTAATAATGTGTCAATACACACAGTACCACAAAACAGACTGATTAGGCTTAGTCTATTATTATTATCCAGTAGGCTTGCTTTTGTAATATTAACATGTAGGCTAACAGTGTTTGAACGATTATGCTAATTAATCAGCACATGTTCTAGCCTATTTCAAAGAGTGATTAATTAAATGATTAATTGAATTTGAACGAATTGAATTAATTGGCACATATACTAAGCCATTAATCACAGCTAACAAAAAATTGTTCCTAGAATGTTTTGCTAATGTTCTCATTAAGTTATGAAAATTGTATTTTTTAATGTTATCTGAATGCTCAAACCACCCAATCTTCTTTTAATATTTTTGCTATGGAAATGTTAAGGGAACGTTCCATTTTATCTGCAAACATTAGACAAGAGGAATATTACTTATGATACTTTTGAACGTTGTCTGAACGTTCTGAAACAACAACCAACTAAAATGTTTCAGGAAAAAAGTTCCTTGAACAATGTTTAAATAACATTGTGGCAACATGTTGAGAACATTAGGCCTATAAATGACCAGATAACTTTGAATAAACATTCTATTTACGTTACTGGAAGAATGTTTGTTCATAACTTTGAGAGAACCAGAACATTAGCCAAAGTTCTGTGAATGTTCCCTGTTAGCTAGAATTAGAATTACTCTGTTTTCTTTGTAAGGTGCGGCCACATTAGCAATATTTCTGCCAAATTTTGTTTTCAAAATGGTCCATTGTCTATTGTAGTGCAGTGCTCACAAGTCACTTTAAAACCGAGCAGATTTCGAATTGTTAGCAAGGCATATTTTTGTGTGACCAACTTTAACATGAGCGAAATTTCAGTGGGGACATTTTTTACGCGATTCTTGGATTTTGCCAGCGAAATTTCGCCGAGTAACGATCAATGTGACGGCACCTTTAATGGGGTCATATGATGTTGCTAAAAATAACATTATTTTGTGAGTGAGCGGAAGCCGGGCTAGAGTGAGCAGAGGCGGCGGGCTTGAGAACAGAGCGGCCGGCGGATTCGACGAAGGAGCGGCAACCACATGTGACGACCCCGGACTGGACTCTGCTTCGTCCACGGTGAAAGACGATCCGGCGATCCACAGCACTAAGTTGATGTATTCCCTCAGTGACCAGCACAGATCAACGAGCCGTTTTAGGTAGGCGTGGCTGACTCTTAACTTTTATAAAGAATATCTCTTTGGATTTGAGACTTTAGTCTTTGCAACTTTACAGATCTTCTTTATGCACCAAGAGCTTGTAACACTTCAAAGAGAAAGGAAAATTTGAAATCGCATCATATGACCCCTTCAAAGCACTAATCGAACGAATCAGTGAATCGAGTCATTTAATTTAAACGATTCATTGAATTGATTATCAAGTGTTAATCAAATATGGTGTGTTCAAAATTCACTATTTCCCGGCAGCATCAGTGAGATCGGTAATATAGCGAGCTGTGTCAGTGAGCGGAGGGCGTGTGTAGGGGATCAACACTCACTCAATTCTATGGGTAGGCTATAGTATGAGCGAGTATGTGTGTGTGTGTGCAGATAACGGCATGGCCCCGCTCTGTGTCTTTGTAGCCTGTAAGGGGAAGGCGTGGTGAGTGTCTGATCACAGATGAACAGATGAGGGAATGAGGCAGATGTGCGGCGATACATCCGACAGCGAGCGTGTGAACTGAACGGAAACGCCCTTATAAACAGAGGTAAGATTTATTCGCTCATGTGTTAATCCAGTAATTCGCTTTTGTATTATTTGTCGTTTTTCGTCTGTTTTGCTGCTTTGACAACAGGCTGCACCGGAGCACGTGAAACACGATGGATTAACGGGACGATGTTCATGGTTTTTATTTTTAAATGAAGATTGTGTAAGCTCATATGCAGTTATTCGCATTTATTTGGCAAAATGACTATGGGCTATATGTTTTTTTTTTTTGGTGCAATAGAAAGGATCTGTGTTTGACCATTCATATGATTCATTTATTAATTTCATGGTCACTATGTCCTGTTGAAGCATCTTTGTGAACTGTGAGGTAGCCTACAAGATGCATTATAAGATAGGCAGTTCACTAGGGTTTACTAGCTTACAGTCATTGTGGCTAGTTCTTCTCTGGTTATCTGTTTCTGAACATAGACAGTATTGTGTCACATCACAGACATAGTGGTTTGTGAAATGAATATTTCCTCTTTGATGAGGACACCGGAAATTACATGAGATGATGTCATGACATTTTTTTTTTTCAAATGTCATTAAGTAATTGCATACATATAAGTA